GGTAACTGAGGCAGACTGCACAGTCTGCGATCAGAACTTGCTTCATGCCATCTGGCAGCTGGAGGCGTAGCATGACGGCGACAACTGCTGAAGATGCATAAAAACACAATGAAGAAGTCAGTAAACAAGGAACTGCTCTCCATTCTGAAAAAGGAAACAGAGAGCGTGATGCCACGATAGCACATCAGATTAGGCCTTATGGAAACAATAACGACAGTAGTGGCATACAATCACAAATTGGAATATATCCTCAACTCAGAGGAAAAGAGCAGGAGCTAGATGAAGAAGCTGCATGGTACCGCAAGCCCAAAGTAGTTTGACTCTCTTCAACGAAGCGCAAATGTTCTGGAATTCTGAATCTAGGGGGCTGGAAGTTATTTTACTCAGATGTTTACATCACTAAAATAGGACGCTTCCTCAAGCAGCTTTGATACTATTCAAATGAGCTTTTAGTGTTGGTTAAGCGTTTTCTCATCTTTTGAGCGTGTTATTACTCACAAACGTTTCATTCTCACTGTGTATACAGCATTATTTGAATATGGCTGTATCGTTGGAAAAAATACTGCGATCTGACTTTGAACCGAAAATCATATCCAATGATACATATTTAAACAGCGAAATTATGAGCCGACAAATCCACGGTCGATATATGCAAAAATTTATGGAGAATGGTCTCCATCCTTCAATTCATAAATAGATCTTACCTTCTGATGCCATCCATGGTTACTTATACGACATACAAATCAAACCCGAATCTTAATTGAGAACAACAGTCATGATAAAAATGCAGCACGCTCTTCAAAGAAGTGCATCCGTTATTTCATTGAAAAGACAATATTTTCACATCAGTCGGTTGAAAAATTGCGATCAAGAATCAGGAAACAAACAAATATGATTTCTATACATTTAATATAATATGTGATAAATATCAAATGAGCTCACATGAACAAACTTTAATAGACAAAATGCAATCATACCTTTAACGCTGTAATATAATGATCATATGTGCACTATTTTCTTCATATGGATCTAAGCATACAATCAGAGTCAAAGAATGGGAGTTCAGTCGTTTATTCACTAACCTGACATTCAATTGCCCTATTCTTAAAAATTCGAGTACTGCACAAAAGCACTATTTCATGAAGGGTTTTCTATTGAATGGCACATTGTGCAAACTACCACCCCCACAAATTGCTGCTTGTCTCGCATGTCCCAGCATACCGGCTGTGAAGCTCTTGAAGAAATGTTCTATGATGCATCACCAAGGTCTCCATGTAGGACAGTAAGTTTCGAATGGAAGAGACGAAAGAAAAACAATCTACTTCACTGCGTGACTATGACTCTGGTTATGTTATACGACAAACATGTGGGACAACATCAAATATGGGTCACAACTACAATGATCAAACCGACAAGGATCGACGAAAATAGACAACTAAACGGAACTCGGAACTGCGTCCAGATGAAACGAAGCGCATAACATAATGAAGAAAAAAGACTGTTCGAATGTCCAGTCATGAAGTCATGTAATCAGCCGTTCATCGCTTGTTCAAAGAGGGCTTTTAGGCATTTAAGTAATGCCTGCCTGTCAGCAGCTTAACTGTTCCAGTCATCTTCAGGAATCTCAAGATCATTTAAAACAGTGCATTCCGGGGTTGGAAAGCTATCAGCGAGTCTCTTCATGACTTCGTCTGGCGTATTTCTTTTTTCTGTGCTGTTGCCCTGAAGCCTGCCGGTGATACCTTTCCGTCTATTCTCCAATGCTGTTTTCAGGTCATCCATTATGCTGTTTGAGCCAACTTTTGATGCAATATCTTTCCTGAACTCGTCTGCTTTATTCTTCTCCAGTTTTTTTCGACGTTTCTCGTCTGCCACAGAACGAAATGAAAATTTTTCAGCGCCCCCTGCCTTTCTAATAGCAGCCATTAGGTCAGCACGAGTATTTCCTGCCGTCTTCTGCACTGAAACGTTAGCGGATAGGAAGTTGGGTAGAGGGCTATCGAGCGACGGTGGTGGGACATTTGGCGGGGGAGGAGGAGGCGGGACGGAAAGAAGAGAAGGAGCGGATTCCGCTGAGAAACTCTTTTCTGGAACGGCCAATGAAGGCATCACAGACGCTGACTCGGGTACGGCGGTATTTTGTTCAGCAGATGTAGATTTCTGACACGATTCTTCATTCTTATCTTTATCAACGGCCAGACTGCGTTCAGCTAAAGCACCCCCTAACAAAACGGGCGATGAAAAGTCCGCAACACCTAAAGGTGAATATCAGTTAAATAATATCGTCTGTAAAAGCAAACCAGGTAAATCCGGCAGCACATCTGGGACGTTAAATGATGGAACGGGTAAAAACTTGTCCGCGTAGTCCAACGGAGGACCAGCTATCTCGACAGTCCCTTGTTTAACTAGAGCAACCGGCGCCTCCTTGAAGTCACTTGTAGTGGCAGTTGCGACCTTTTGTGAGCTTTCAGAACGCTTTCCGGAGAACGACTTCTGCTCTTTAAGACTGTGCGGTTTCGTTATGTACCTGCATTGCAAAATATTTCTTTATATCTTTAAGAAACACGTTCCTAAATGCTATGCTGCAGCACAAAACAAACATACAGAATTCTTTTTCAGAAAAAAGATGTTACACAACCAAACAGTAAATAGTAATGAATAGAGACTTAAGAGTCAGGTTAAAAATTCATTTTAAAGGATGTCTATTCTGCAAGGAAAGAACGCAACAACGGAATTATTGGTACTGTCGGTCAGTTGCTGAAAACTCCTTAAAAAGATCTACTTCACTGCCAACTTGTTATTCTCCTCCAGTACACAACAGTTTAATAAAAATTAACCTTGAGATCAAAGTAATTTCTTATCCAATTATTAATTTTACAACAAAATTGATTATCCCATTTCTAAACCATTTCAACGAATAACAAAAATTTGGCCAGACTAAATTTTCATAATAAGACAAAGAATACTGGAGCATATGTATGTACGACAAAAAACATGAACTCTATCGATACCTTCAACTATGTTCAGTTATTCTGATGGTTGAATGAGCCTACCAAAAAAGCTCAGAAAGATGTAAACCGTTTGAATCAAACACTTGGATAAAAGCCTTCCCTATTAGAAGCACATTATGCTCATCGCTATAAACTGTTCTTAACAAACGACTAATTAAAACAGTTTCTTAACAAAACGTAGTGACCATACACGGCTAAGGAAGTTGTCAATGTATGTAGACCTTCTTCACGGTGTTCCCCTAAATTATTCTGAAAAGAAGCGTTCTATTTTCCCGACCACCCACCGAAAGGTAATTATCCGGTATGTTATTTATTTTATTTCTTCTAAAGCTACTTCATTTCTGCTATGTAAACAAATCCCCCCGCAGTATTAAGCGAAAAATCTTGCCTGAGTTTAATAAAGGTCCTTCTTTAGTCAGTCCTTTTATACAAAACTGCATTGCTTCTACGTTTATACATCAAAAAATTAAATTAAAGACGACTGTCTTTCATTATCCTAAATCAAAAATAAAGTAAAGCACGTACGGACAAAATGATGAGTTGAAAACCAGTAGGTTAGATACCGAATCGATGTTTGATGGTAATTTCCTTACGCCGGAATTTGTGACTCGTCTTCTATCAGATTCTTTGGTTTCAAAATGATAGAACCGTTGCTTTTCTTTAAACACACGCTTTAATTCTGCATCCGTCAGCTTTGCCTTTGGGAAAGCACGAACTCTTGTCATATTTTCTGATTTTGGAACATTTGTGCCAAAAATCTTCACCTCGTTTACATATGAAGTCTTCAATTCAGGATATTTGGCAGGAGCAGATACGACAAGGGCTTTGTTACTCATTTCCTTAATCTTCTTGACCTTATTCTCTACCGCCACAACCCGAGTGCAAACTTTATTTAAACGATTTTTCACAGAGTTGATTCGCTGATTCACCGCTGAAAAATAAGCTTTTTGAACATTGTCAAACTTTTCTACCGCATCAGCAATCTGAAGAAGTGCTTCTTCTCGACCAACGTCGGTCGATACTAAAGTTAATTCGAACGTGTCCATTTGAAGCGAAAATTTGCCCCTTATCACCTCTTCGATGCAAGCTTCTTCCACCTATAATAAGTTATCACAAAGATCAATTATCAATATTTATCATCATAAATACCATATCATCAGATTAAAAATATAACATTTATGCATCAATTCTCAGTGAGTACGCAAGTAAATTGTCAATAAGAGATTAAAGATTAACCTTCTTGTGAAGGAGCCTGCCTCCCGAACTCCAGATAAGCAGGACGTCTACAAGGATATGTTCAACTACGCCGTCCTTCCAAAATGAAACATCCGTCTTTGCTCAGATCAGAAATATCTCAAAAAAGAATGTCTAGAACAGCAGAAATTAGCCATGCAGAAATTACATCTACTTAATGAACTCCACAGTTAATATGAAACAAGTCAGACAACCGTTTTTTAACCTTACTGAAATACAAAACTCCTTCCTACCTTCTTCTAAGTAAGCACAAACTTTATAACATTTTAAATTTCAAACGATTAAAAGTAGTACTAAATCAAGCGCGCCTTTGTCATCAATAAGTGAATATTTTAACAGGTGCATACATACGTGTAAATCAGCAAGCAGCGTCTCGTTGAATGTCGTTTAATGGAGCCCGGGAGAGCAACTGCCTAACGCGAGCAAGAACGACGGCGTTCTGGCTTTCGAGGCTGTCCAGCGTATACGGTGGTGTGATTTTCAGAACCCCGTGAAAAATCACGATGTCGTTGCCGACTTCTTGGAACTGGACAGCGGAGCGTTGCAACCAATCCTTCACTATCTCCTTACGAGCAGCAACCTGTTCTGTACTTTCAGCAACAGGCTGAAAGAACTGTTCAATGATTCGTCTGACACTATCGTTGCATTCTTCTGATAGGACCTTCACACTCTGAATCGACCAGCCTTCCAGAAAAGTGATTGGGTACAAAACGGACTGGTGACAATCGCCGACGAGAATAACAGCACCGGAAACAGGATCTCGTGTATAAAACCTTCCTTTATATATGTGATCTTCTACACATGCCACTTCAACTAGCGCAAAAGGACGAATCTTCGAAAAAG